TAAAATTACATATCTTATGTTACATTTAAAAATAACAATGTTAATGGGCTACAATATGTCTCTAAATAAGATAGATATTTACATAGAAACAAATAAAAGAATCGAATACAAAAAGTACAGTATTTACAAAGCTACATTGTACTTAAAAACTATACTATTAAAGAATGTATTCTTGAAACGGTCCGAGTGAATGGCGGGCATTGCGGAAGATTTATTCCTTAAGTTGTATCTTGTAACAGATGTAAGGAAATAACAGATGCAAGGAATGGCACAGATGCAAGGAAAATCGGTACTATTCTACAAATCTTCAGATTCAAAGAGACATACAAAAGGCGCGATTTAAATACTAGAAGGTGGTAATTCGCATTAATAAGCATGTGAACAACAGAAACAAAGACTGCATACTCAGGAGAAAAGACAATTCAGTGCTGGATTTTAAGGAATTGTTCATTTGTGTCACTTATGTCAGACGCTTAAAGAGTGTGTCCATGAGAAAACCAGGCAGAACTTGGCACAAATGTTGGGTTTGAAGAGTAAATGATTATAGCAAAATTTGTTGGTCAAAATACTTGATTCGCTATGTGGACCCTCTGCAGAAATGGCCATGTGACACTTATTTATGCATATTTGATTGCGCTAGAAAATCGCCAAAAAGTGCTCAAAACATGGCAAAAAAAGTGCTCAAATAGTGCTTGAAATTTAGAAATAGTGCACGAAAGTTACTCGCAGTTACGTTTGTTTATTATTTCTTAGCAGATGTTTATAAATATCCCTAGTTTTATCAAACTTCTAACTCTCGATTTCCTATTATACTGAGGTGGCCATAAAGTATAACATCGTTTATCGAACAAAAACTGACTAACTTTCTGCCTTATTTCTCGTAATATTAGCCAAGCCCGCCTCGTGCTTCTTAGATTTCGTGTGCCTCTGAATAGAACTCTTCTTGTCGCTGAGATTTTCGCTGCAAGCAATACATCTACGTTTTCCTCCCACTACGGCAAAGTGTTAACCTGGTACTCTTTCAGCCGTTCCCATGCACTCACATTAGTGGTTTCAGCGCTTCCTCCCTGCATATTAATTCATTTGTTGGTAGGCAATTTTCGATCCGTGCTATCGATGCGCCTTGTGGTGCACTTCCCGACGCTCCAGAATTTACTGCTACTGTAATTGGGTCAATAATGTTTTCGTCTTCAGACTGGCTGAGCTGGTTTGTTGCTTCCGTCTTTACACTATTTAACTGGTTTAGGAACAAGTCTATACAATACAAACAATGCTTTCATCAGCAGCTGCCCTGAACAGAAAAGAGCGCTAAAAGTTCCTGAGAAACAAGAAATCACGAAACAATTAAAATCGACTGTTCCCACGGTTAAAAGGACCATAGCTCATGACAGCAGCCAGCCAGCCAGCCAGGGGACAAGGTGGAATTATTCATAATTCATGATAATAGAATCAATCGGCTTTACTGAAAACGTTTAAAGACAAAATATTGCATTTAACACATACGAAAAAGTGCCCAGCGCAATCGGGACAGGCCTAACTTCTACAACAAGAAAGGCCTACTTATATTTTGAGTAGTTTGAGATTATTCAAACTCAAAACAGAAGGTCAAACAATATAAACAGAAAACCTCACCACAAAGTAACAAAACTCAAATCGCAATTCTCGCTTCTTCTGGGTTAGTTTAATCGGGCTTTCAACAACCCGGTCCAGGAGCTCCGCTTTTAGGCTTGGCTAAATCTTTATATCAGGCACAGCCCCAATACTAGAAATGCTGCGCGCTTACGGTCTCCGTTTCCAATTATAGCTCCTGACGGAAATCGAATCCGGAATTTTTAGTCCGGTGGAAGTGCCCATTGATTTCTTTCCCTTGCCGGTTTGTTAGAGTTAAAGACACAAATCTAATTCTTGTCCAAATAGGATGTTTTAATATTCATGTAGTTTTTCAGTTCAAATAGTTTAACACGTTTTGGTGAGTAAAGGATTTTCAATAAGAATTGATAGGCTGCATTTTTCTTGCAAGACATAGAGTGCAATACCGAGTGGTCAAGACAGCCGACCATCTTGTCTACTCAGGTAGCCCAACCACTGGGCAGTATTTGGTTCATCTTACCCGCTCGCCGCATTGGCCATAAAAAGCATGATTAACAATCACTTGCCTCCGTTGGGAAATGATATTACTCAAAATTTAGGAGGACTAATTTGAAATCACCTTTGCTCTAAGGTGCACAGGATTGTGAAGAAAAGGATGAAGAAGATGGAATTACGAAACGTTCTGAGCTGAAGGATCAACAAAACCCAGTGAAAGAACAGGAAAGACACCAGGAGTCAGAAATACTTGAAGAAGAACTTACAAAACTTCAAGATGAAGTCAAGCAAAGCAAAGGGGTCATCACAAAACTTAATTCTGACTTGAAAAATGAAAAGGAACTCACAAAACAACTACAACAACGAGTTGAAGAGTTACAAATACTAGAAAAAGATTGGAAAAGTCTCCAAGATAAAATCAAGCAGCAAGAAGAAGCTATCACGGAACTTACCTCTGACCTGAAGAATGAAAAGGATCTCACCCAGAAACTACAACAAGAAGTTGAAGAGTCACAAATATTGGAAGAAGAATTTAGACGACTCCAAGATCAAGACAAGGAAAAAGAAGAAGTAATAGAGGAACTCAATTCTAGGTTAGAAGAGGGACAACATCTAATGAAAAAGCAGGCTGAAGAGTTAGGAATGCTTATAGACGAAAACAAAATAATAAAAGACCAAGAAATTAACGCACTTAGATATGAGCTAGAGCAGGCACGGGAAGAAGTGGAGGAAAAAGAAGAAAGAATCAAGGAACTTACTTCTGAGCTGGAAGATGCAAGAAACTAAGTAGAAGAACTGGAACAACAGATCCAAGAGTCAAAGATAATTGAGGAAGAACTCGCTCCGGCATGAAGAATCAAGAAACACATTTTCTATTAACGATCCAAAACGAGAACAAAGAAAAACAATAGAAAGTGAAATTTAGTTTTGTGGATATTTGAGGTTAGCCTTAGCTAAAACAAAATTAGTAAAACCTTTTATCATTTGTTTTGGTAGTTAGATAGTTGTTGTAACATGAAGGGTAGAGATAATTTGACTTTTGACCTCAGAATTCGCTGATATAAGACAATTGAAGCGTATGTGTTCTTAATTGCAACTGTTTTATACTGCCACGTAAATGACAAAATTAATGCTAAATTTCCTCAAAGGCGTGTAAGTGGTGATTTAAAATCTTAGCTTATTAACGAAACAAAAAAAAGGAAAAGCAATGATTTTAGCGGGAATGCATGCTCCTTTTTGTTTTGACTTTTCACGTTTTATTTTTCTATGTTTTTCTGCTTCAAGCAAATATATTTTTATCAGTTACATGGAACAGTCTTTGTAAACTTGCATGTAAAGGAGCCATCTCTCCCTAGTGACCGTCACTAGTTCCGACAATTCTGTCAATGTGAATTTTCAGTCACCAGTGCAAAAACATATAAGTAAGCATGAGGAACATGCGCAGATTGAGTAAGCTGTTGATGTTTAGCGCCTTTCAGAAGAAAAACTAGCAAAAGGCGTTACGTAACAGCACCTTACGTCGATTGCGTGTGTTCCTATGGTTATGCGTAAGTGAAAACCGGCCTTTATTGAAACACAATATTAGCGGACTCAAGATTTGAGTGCAAGTACGAGAACGACTTTTCAATGCTAGTTGTCAACTGATAAATAATTCATCCAGTTTAGACAAAGGAAATCCTGACCGTGACGATGTTTGAATATTTCATGTTAATTGTCATATATTTTTAGGAACTTAGTTCTCCATTTTCTCCTTAGTTTTAGTTTCGATTGAGAAGATATATCAAACACTCAAGATAGAGTTTCACCACATTAACAAACACCTCGACGATCGTCAAAAATACTCCGCTGTGCGTCGTATTTTCAATTCTCTTCTCGGTGTTTGGAAATATTGTCAAACACGATCTTTCGTGTTTGACATATTACTACTCAGGCTACACATTATCACGTCAGGTGACCGGTTAGCTCAGTTGGTAGAGCGTCGGACTACCGTGCGGGAGGTCTCGGGTTCGAGCCCCAGACCGGACCAACACTGATGGTCTTAAAATAACTGAGCAGAATATGCTGCCTTTGCAATGACATCTGCAAATGGTTAGATATTCTAGTCTTCTCGGATAAGGACGATAAACCGTAGGCCTCGTCTCCTGCATCTTCACTGTTATGGTCAGCAGGGGACGTTAAAGAACCCACACACTAATCGTGAAGAGCAGGGCACGAAGTTCCCGGTGTTACCACCACCACCACCAATCGACTTGGAATAACGATTTCGATTTTGTTGATCGAGTTATCAAAACTCCTTGTCTATTTTCATTTTCGCAGTGTAAAACTTCACTATGCTTATGTT